TGGGTGGTGGATGGGTAGCTGGGTGGCGTAGATGAATGGGTAGCTGGGTGGTGGGTGGGTAGCTGGGTTGGTGGATGATGGGTTTAGCTGGGTGCGTGTGTGATGGGTGGGTGTTTGGGTGGATGGGTAGTGGTGGTGGGGTGGATGGATGGTGGTCGGTGTGGATGGTGGGTGAATGATGGTGTCGGTGGAGGGTGTGGATGATGGTGGGCAGGTGGATGGTACTGGGGTGGTGGGATGGATGGAACTGGGTGGGGTGGTGGGGATGGGTAGCTGGTAGTGTGTGATGGGTAGGTGGGTGGGTAGATGGTGGGTGGGTGGGTGGGTAAGATGGGTGGTGGGTGGGGTGGGTGGATGGTGGGTGGGTGGCGGTGGGTGGATGGGTGGGTGGTAGGTGATGGGTAGCTGTGGTGATGGGTGGTGGTCAAAGCTGAATGGGTAGCTGGGTGGGTGGATGCGTGGATGGGTAAGCTGGTGTGGGGTGATGGGTGGTTGGTGGGTGTGGTCGGGGTGATGGGTAGGGTGGGTGGGTGGAGGGTAGGGTGGTGGGTGGTCAGGTGGATGGATAGCTGGGGGATGGGTAAGATGGTGGGTGGATGGATGGTACTGGGTGGTGTGGTGGCGTGGATGCGATGGTTGGCTGAGTGGTGGTGGTCGGTGGATAAGGTAGGTGGATGGGTGGATGGGTGAGTGGGTGGGTAGGTGGGTGGTTGGATGGATGGGTGGATGGGTAGCTGGGTGGGTGGATGGATGGGTGGTCAGGTGTATGGGCAGCTGGGTGGGTGGATGGGTAGGAGGTCGGTGGGTGGATGGGTGGTCGGGTGGATGGGTAGCTGGGTGGGTGGGTGGATGGGTAGTGGGTGGATGGGTGGTCAGTGGATGGGTAGTGGATGGGTAGGTGGGTGGATGGGTAGGTGGTGGATGGGTAGGTGGTGGATGGGTAGGTTGGATGGGTAGGTGATGGATGGGTAGTGGGGATGGTATGGTGGATGGGTGTCAGGTGGATGGGTAGGTGGATGGGTAGGTGGGGTGGATGGGGTAGGTGTTGGATGGTAGTGGTGGATGGTAGGTGGGTGGATGGGTAGGTGGTGGATGGGTAGGTGATGGGTAGGTGGGTGGATGGGTAGGTGGGTGGATGGGTAGTGGTGGGATGGTATGGTGGTGATGGGTAGGTGGGTGGATGGGTAGGTGGTGGATGGGTAGTGGTGGATGCGGTAGTGGGTGATGGGCTAGGTGGGTGATGGGTGGTCAGGTGATGGTAGATGGTAGCTGGGTGTGGTTGTGGAAATGGGTAGGTGGTGGATGGGTGGTCAGGTGGATGGGTAGATGGGTAGCTGGGTGGATGGGTAGCTGGGTGGTGTCTTTCCACGGGCGCTGCAGTCGGGTGACCTGGAAAGGCTGCGTCCACCTGGGCAGTGGCCAGGCTGCCCTGTGTGGCCAGCGAGGACAGCTGCAGGGGTGGGGAACCCTCCCTGCCTCCCAGCCCCCCCCCCACTTTGTCACCTGTTGCATCTCCTGCTCCAGCTGGAGGCGGCTCTCATCCCGCTCCTGCTTCAGGCTCCGAATTTCCTCTTTCAGAGCCTCCCTCTCGGATGCGCTTCTGGCCGCCAGCTCCTTCTCCTGCTGCCGCTGGAACTCGGCCGCCTCCTTCTCCTCCGCCAGGGCCAGACTCAGGGTTTCCTGGGCCGAGGAGAAGGGGCGGGCTTGAGGTCAGGGCGCGTGCCACCGCAGGTGCCTGGGTCCCCGAGGGGCCCCGGCCCTGGGTCCTGGGGTGTCCAGTCCAGCCGCACCCTCCCCGACTTCCCTACGGGGGCACAGGAGCAAGGAGGTGTTCCGGTCTCAGCTTCCACCACCCCACGTTTACCCGCTTGCCTGGGACCCGTTCCCGTCTCCACAGTGGCCACGGGATGCCCAGGGGCGTGAAGGCCTCCGGGAGTGGGGGCGCCCTGGGGGGCGGGGGACGGCCCCTCCAGCCCCAGCTCTCCGGCTGCAGCCAGGGCGGCCGACACCGGTTTGGCCTCTCCAGGTAGGGAAGGGCCTGCCCCGAGTACAAGCGCCAGGGGAGCCTGAACCGCGAGGGGTGGGTAGGCAGGTCCCGGTCCTTCCGCCCCCGCCCAGGCACCTCCACCTCTGAGCTCCGCCTCCCGGGGCTCCACCCCACCAGGGGGCTGCCGTCTTTGGGACCGGGGAGACTCCCGGCAGGCGGCCAGGTGGGCCGCTGGGAAGCAGACCTTCTCCCTCTGCAGCTGCGCCAGGTCCTCGAGCTGGGCCAGCGCCTGGCGCTCCAGGGCCCCCTGCGCCTCCCGCTCCTGCCTCGCCACCTGCCGCAGCTGCGCCTCCTGGGCCTCCCACTCGCTTCTCAGCTGCTCCGCTTCCGCTGCGGGCGAGAGGCGTGTCGGGGCGGGGCAGTGCAGGGGGACCCCTGGCCCTTTTGGAGCTCCCCGTGGAGGGACAGTGGCCAGGCTTGGGGACTGGGTGGCTGGCACTGCGGGGTGGGGCACAGGGAAGGAACAGGGCAGGAGCTCCTGCGGCCTCTGCCTGGTTCTGAGCCCGCTCCGGCCTGGCCCAGGCGCCTGCTGGCCCTCGCAGACGAGGAGTGGCCGACCCGTCCGGGCCCGCGAGCTCCAAGCCCACATCTGCGCCCTGCTACAGGGGGCGGGGTGGGAGCAGCACAGGTGGAGCTCCGTTCCCGGGCTGCTGTGCAGGTGGCCGTGTGGGGCTGGGGCAGAGGAGGCCGCGGTGGGGGCACCTTGCGAGTTGCGCTGAGCCAGCCGGGCACTCCGGGCCTCTCCCGCCAGCCGCTCCTGCTGCACCTGCAGCTGCGTCGCCAGCTGCTGGGCCTCAAAGAGGCGGCTCTCCAGGGAGTCCCTCTCGGCCCTGCGGAGAGCACCAGACAACGGCGCGTTGCCCGTGAGGCCCTGCCTGCGAGGAACGGCGCAGAGCCGGGGCCGGGCACGCGAATCAGAAAAGCGACAGGCTGCCTCGTTCATCTTGAACCTCTGAGAATCAGTGAAATCCTACATAAAAATATGTTTCAGGTCGAGTGAGGTGGCTCACGCCTGTCATCCCAGCACTCTGGGAGGCCGAGGCAGGAGGATCGCTCAAGGTCAGGAGTTCGAGACCAGCCTGAGCAAGAGTGAGATCCCGTCTCTACTAAAAATAGAAAGAAATGATCTGGACAACTAAAAATATGTATATAAAAAATTAGCCGGACACAGTGGCATGTGCGTGTAGTCCCAGCCACTAGGGAGGCCAAGGCGGGAGGATCGCTTGAGCCCAGGAGTCTGAGGTTGCTGTGAGCTAGGCTGACGCCACGGCACTCTAGCCCGGGCAACAGAGCCAGAGTCTGTCAAAAAAAAAAAAAAAAAAAAAAAAAAATATATATATATATATATATATGTTTCAGATGAAACAAAAGGGTGAATTAAAAAAACACAAACAAAACAACTCAGAACTATGAAAGCAATAGAAAAAATATAAAAGAATATTTTATAATCTTCTTAAAGCAAGACACAAAAGCCAGAAGGCAAAAATAAAGAGGCCAGCAGGTCTGAATACACTCAGAGAGGAAGGGGTAGGGTTTCTGCAGAAAATATGCCATAAACTAACTTAAAAGACAAGGGACGGAGTTGGAGGAAAATCTACACTAAACATACAAAGAGTTAACAGCCACCATATACAAACAGTTCCCACAAATAAATGACACAAATCCTACAGCGATCCTACAGCAAGATAGGAAAAATGACTGCTATTCACAAAGAAAATGCAAATGGCTAAATTAACACAGGAAACTTGCTTGATGTCACTAGTGCTCGGGGAGATTCGAATCAGCCATGCAGAGTTGATAGTGACACATCCGATTAGCAGGAGCTTGACACAGTGACAACATCCTCTGTCGGCAAGGGTGTGAGGACAATTTTGGGGTGGGGAGGAATCTCAACACCTCAAGTGTGCATATCGGTTTTTTTTCTAATTATTTTATTTATTTCTTTTTATTATTTTTTTTTCTTTTCTCGGATAGACTTGTGTTTAAATCCTGAAGTGTGCATATCCTTGACCCAGAAATTCCGCTTGTAGGCGTCAGTTTTACAGACATGCTCGTGTGCTGGCGGCACACACACACACACACATACACACACACACACCCACACACACACGATCTCACCGTGGCTATTCACAGGGCCGTGCTTGCCCTCAGCTCAAATGCCAGCAAATGGAAAGATGTTTTTAGGGATTATGGCTCATCCTGTCTCTGGAGCACAGGCAGGTATTTTGTTTTTGTTTTTGAGACAAGAGTGTCGCTTTGTTGCCCAGGCTACAGTGAGTGCCGTGGCGTCAGCCTCGCTCACAGCAACCTCAGACTCCTGGGCTCAAGCGACCCTCCTGCCTCAGCCTCCCGAGTAGCTGGGACTACAGGCATGTACCACCATGCCCGGCTAATTTTTTCTATATATATTAGTTGGTCAATTAGTTTCTTCCTATTTATAGTAGAGACGGGGTCTCACTCTTGCTCAGGCTGGTTTCAAACTCCTGACCTTGAGTTATCCTCCTGCTTTGGCCTTCCCGAGAGCTAGGATGACAGGCGTGAGCCACCGCGCCCGGCCAGCACATGTGGTTTTTAACAAGGACAAGGAGACTCCACTCCCTGTCCTCTCGCAGGGAAGGAGCCGTTCCCAGAAGCAACCTTCCGCGCGTCGTGATGCCGATATGCAAAGAAGCCTCAAGTGTGTTTGCGCAGCCTGAGCGCCTGACAGCAGATTCGCAGGCCGTGAACCCGCCAGTCCCCACCGGCAGGCTTTGTCGCTGCCTCGCTCTGCCCTGCGCCGGGTGCACGTCCGTGAAAAACCAGCTCCTCAAACACACGCCACAAAGACACCCACAGGGAGCCCCCTCCGGCAGGTGCAGGATCCGGAACAGACTGGCTCAGGCGGGCAGAGGGGGACCCCGGCTGGATCCCGCGCCCGTCTCTCCTCCAGCCCCGGCCGCTGTCCAGGCCGGAGCACATCAGAACCTCCCGGGCCCCGCCATTTGCAGAGAGGGGTTCCCCGAGACCAGGGTGGAGTCCCCAGAAACCTCCCTCTCTGCCGCGCCACGCCCTGCACCCACGAGCACGGCTCCCCCCACGCCCCACCCGTGCTCCACCACCGCCGGCGTCAAAGCGTCCTGCGCCTGGCGCTCTTCCCGCCTCTGCATGGAGAAAATGCTCCCCTCAGGTCCTCTCAAACCCTGCTCCTCCTGGGTGCCCGCCCGTCCCCTCTCGGGCTGTGGCCTCCCGGCTGTGTTGTTGGGCGTCTTTGCCTGGAGCCCGAGTGCGTGTCTGGCCTCTGTCCACGGGATCCCGGCAGCCCGGGGGGGCTTGAGCAGGGGTGAGGCCGCCTGGGGCGGGGCCAGCAGGGACCCCAGCTGTCTTGCTGGCTGATGAGTAGCCGTGTGCACGCCAAGCCCTGAGAGCGGGTCCCCGTGGGGCAGCCTGGCAGGGCCTGGCAGTCCGGGGCTCTAGGACCCCGAGAGCTGGGTGGCCCCGGACACGTCCCAGAGCAGCCCTGTGGACAGGAGCTGGGCTGGCTGTTGTGACACGCTGCTCTTCGGGCTGTGACCCTGGGGATCGCAGGGTCAGGGGCAAGTCCGGGGAGCTGCAGGGACAGGGTCCGGGCTGCCGAGGGCTCTGGCCGGGTGTGTTCCGTGCGGCAGGGGCTGCAGGGAGGAAGGGCCTCCAACTCTGGTCTTCTGAGCGCCGGGGACCCAGGGGGGCGCGTGGGCAGGGCTCCAGCCCGCAGCAGCCTCCTTCCGTTCTCCGTCCCACTTCTGCACAGGCGTGCGTTTGGAAGAGGGCTGTGTCCGTGAAGAAGTTCAGGCATCCGGGACTCTGAGGTTTCTCTTGCCCCAGATTCTGGAATTCCAGGAGGAAATCTTCTCTGCAGAAATACTTCCACGTTCCTGAGAAGGGCCGCTGAGGTGCAGAAAGCCACCAGCTTTTGGATTTCCGAAGAAGCCACAGGACTGACCGGTTCAGCCCGCGGGCACCCATTGTTCCTGTCTGCGAGCACCATTCCAGCCTCTAGGAGTTGCCCCTTAGGGTCCTGGGCTCACTCCACCCCACTCTTGGCCTCAGACCCTGCCCTGGCTCCAGGGACGGGCATGCAACCCAAGCCTGGCGACCAGAGCCCTGCGACTGCCGGCTCCCAGGGTTGCTACAGGGAAGTCACGCGGCTCAGGATGGCTGAGGGGCCTTGTGGGGACAAGGATGCATGGTACATTCTGGAGGAGGCAGCCTGAGTGGCCACTGGCCATCGGGCCACCTCTCAGGGCCAACCTGCCTAGGGATGAAATACCCTCACCATCAAGCAACACTGAGGGAGAGTGAGGCAGGATCCTGAGGGCACTGTGGGACCGCCTGGATCCAGCCTTGCCTGAAGCTGGTTCACCTTGAACTCCTCAGATCCATGAGCAAGACCTTCCGGGTCTGCCTCCCGCTGGCTGCTGCTTGCCACCACCTCTGCAGGAGGGCGGCCCAGGGCTCTTGCTGGATTAGCCTCTTCCAGATGCCTGCCCCACCCCCAAGTCACCGTTTGTCCCTCACTGACAGCTGTCTCACATGCAGTGACACACGTGCCTGCTCTACGTCACTGTATGAGTGTCACCCCGTCCTGGGCTCTCCGAGGGTGAGGCCATGTGGGGCATGTAAGGCTGGTGGCGGGGGGCCCCCCTCCCCTCCCTAGATCAAAAAGAAAAGGCTCAAGAGACCAGACCCGCCAAGGACAAACTGCCAGGCCCCGCTGAGAAGAACCACACCCAGAGGTCCACCCGGACAAGAACGTTTTGGATCCTGGGTTCCCCAAGTACCGCCAGCCCCTCCTATTTCTCAATGACCACCCAAGGTCACCCCGGCTCTTCCCGCCAGAAGTCCCCAGCCCACCCCAAACAGCATAAAGGCTTGCACCCCCTTCAAACAGACACGACTTCTCAGCACCGCCCCCCCCGGGACCCAAGAACCTCATCCGGGAGCGCATCATAAAGCCACGTTGTTTGGCCTCAGCCTCTCTCTCTCTCTCTCTCTCTCTCTCTCTCTCTGTGTGTGTGTCTGTTTCTTTCACCGCTGGAAAGCTTTACAGGACAGACCCTGAGTGGCAGGACCATGGGTACCTGAGGTCGGCCGCCTCCTTGGCCTCGAGCTGGCCCTGCCTCTCTACGGCCTCCTGCTCGGCCAGCAGCTGGGCCCGCTGCGCGGACAGGGCGTCCTTCTCCTGCAGGGCTCGCTGCAGAGCGTCCAGCTGGGTCTCCTGGTCCTGCAGGCTCCGCGCCAGCTGCTCCTCCAGGGCCCGTGTCTTGCGTGTGAGCTGTGGGAGGAAGGGAGGGGACATCCCGCAGAGGGAGGCTGAGCAGGAGGGTGGGGGGGGGCTCCTGAAGGCAGGAAAGGACTTGGGCAGAAGATGCTCCCTGCAGAGCGGCACGGGGCGGACTCAAGGCGTACTGGACCTCAGACGTGCGTGTGAGTCTTGAAAAAAGAGGGGACGTCCCCTCCTGCACCCATGAAGGGTGCACGCCCAGACTGGAGCCAGCTACCGCTGTAATTGGCAATGCTCTTGGGCCACAGGTGCCCAGGGGGCAGGGAAACCGGCAACAGAAGGTCACAGACGACCGGATCGTTGCAGACCGACACTTCCGTCGAGAACATCACGGAAATCTAGACAAATATGTCCACGGGAGTCCGAGGCCCCAGAGAGCTCCAAAGGCAGCTGGGACTGAAGGGGCCAAGACCTTGGGGAGGAGGGGACACAGGGGCAGAAGCCGCCACCTGTGTCTCTTCTCTCCTCAAAGCACGTGCTGATCTCAGAGTCTGGGCGGAGAAACCGAGATGCTCAGGAGAGATTCTCGCGGCGCCGTGGCCTTTAGCAGCACAAACACTGGAGCTCGGAGCCAGCAAAGCAGAGCGGCTCTGAGGAACACCCCAGGTTTCAAGTTTTATTCGGAGAAGGGCATGGCCCTAGCAGGAGGGATGAATCGGAAACAGGTGACCGACCCCTCGTAGAAACCGAAGCTCAGGCACGAACCGCCCCAGTCGCTGATTGGATGGCGGGGACGGCCCGACCGTCACCGCTGCCCAGCAAAAGTGAACCCTCTCTGGAAGAACTTTAGCATCACAGAGATCCTCGGATGATTTCCATAATTTTTATGTGTGATATTCGGCATTCAAACAGCATGACCAGGCAGATCAAGGGGTGAAACCCCACGCCAAGAAAACCACATGCAGGAAATAGACGTAGAGCTCCCACGCCCGCTATGCAGAGAGCGGAGTTATCAGACACAGACTGAAATAGCCCACTAGCACGTTCGAGAAGATGGAAGGCATGACCTGGATACTAGACATAAACAACATAATTTAAAAATACAGCAACCCAAAGTAATAAATTACTAGATGCGCCCAATGGCAAAGGAGACAGAAGACTGCAGGTCTGGAAGACGACGGAAAGGACACGCTCATACTGAGTCATGCAGGACAAAAGGCCGGAAAACACAGAGAAGAACGTCATCGGCACATCGGCAAGGTGAGAAGGCCCACTGTGTGTGCAGGCAGGGCCTCACAAGGAGAGCAGAGAGAGTATTTGAACAGATGCACGCCAAGAATTTCCCAAATCTACTAAAATACTTAAAGCTGTAGATTTGACATGAACCACAATCCCCCAGGAGGATAAATAAAAAAAAAAAAAATGCCATTTAGATACATCTCAGTAAAGTTTCTGAATATCAAAGCTAAAGAAACGTATCTTTAAAAATCAGAGGAAAAGGCCGGGCGTGGTGGCTCATGCCTATAATCCTAGCACTCTGGGAGGCCGAGGCGGTTGGATTGCTCTAGGTCGGGAGTTCAAAACCAGCCTGAGCAAAAGCGAGACCTCGTTTCTACTAAAAATAGAAAGAAATTAACTGACCAACTAAAATATATATATAGAAAAAATTAGCCAGGCATGGTGGCGCATGTCTGTAGTCCCAGCTACTTGAGAGGCTGAGATAGAAGGATCGCTTGAGCCCAGGAGTTTGAGGTTGCTGTGAGCTAGGCTGATGCCACGGCACTCACTCTAGCCTGGGCAACAAAGCGAGACTCTGTCTCAAAAAAAAAAAAAAAAATCAGAGGAAAAAAATGCATATTGCCTTTAAATGATCAACAGTAAGACTGGCGTTTGACTTGCAAACAGCAACAAGGAAAGCCAGAAGGTAATGGATGCACTTTATCAAATTGCTGAAAGAAAATAATTGCTATCCTAGTATTCTACACCCCGTGAAAATATTCTTTGAAAGCAAAGACCAGGACTTTCAGCTTCTGATGATGGTGAAGTAGATTGTTGAGGCCCAGCCCTCCTGCCTAAAGCAAGTAGGAAAGCTGTACAACATGGTGCCCAATAATCAGCTCGAAGGCTTTAGAGAGATACCAAGGCACTCAGGTCCCAGGGGCTAGATTACGGAGAGGAATGTATTAAAGTGAGCCTGAAATTCTACAGCCGATTTCTCCCTTAAAGTGTTTGCCAAGTCCTAAGTGGGCACGGGGCCTAGATCCCAGGAACCAAGGGTAAAGCTTTTGCTCAGAGGCTGGGAACCTGGCCTAAGGTTTCAGCAGGATTACGAGCCTGAGGAGACATAACTTGGAGTCCAGAACTGTCAGAGCAGCCAGGGCACGAGATACGAAGCTATTAGAGAAGAAGGAGAGGCCCTGAGAGTCTATATTGGGCTTTTTAATGGTGCCGCTTTTTTACATATATTTTTATAATTCATGAGCAGTGTAGGTTAGTCAAGGGACCCAGAATCTGAACACAAATGGGCAGCTAAGAGTCTGAGATATCGGGTAGAATTTTTGGCAGTCTCAAAGAATTGAGAAAACAAAACCTGGAGTTTAGGGCTAACCAAAGAGTAGGGGCCCTGGCACGCAGCCAAGACTTCCTGTTAGAAATACGGGAGAATTATATTATACCCAGGGGTAAATCAGAAATAGACCACTCTGCACAAAAGCCTGAAACACAGTTATAAACCAGCTAAATCGCAGGCTGGATAAACGTGGTCTGTTCCTACTCTGATTTCCCAAAGTCAAAAGCAAATTCCCTCTGAAAGACATTTATATCATTCAGAATCTCAAATTATCCCTGCAAATTATATATACAAAAACACAAAGTCTGTCATTCAATCAAAAATTATTAAGCACTCCAGGAGACAAGACCAGATGACTGAAAACAAAGAGGTAAAAGACAATATGAACAGGACCATTATGGGATCCAGATGCTGAAATTATCAGACAAAAAGACATGAAAAATATTGCAATAAATGTGCTCAGGAACATACCCTAGAAAGTGGGGGATTTCACCAGATAACTGAAATGTGTGTGTGAGAGAGAGAGAGAGAGAGAGAGAGAGAGAGAGAGAGAGAGGGGGAGGGAGGGAGGGAGGGAGGTTAAAATGACCACTTACAAACCAGAAATATCAATAACATATTGTAGGGTTTATAACAACATACATGGAAATAAAATATTATTATGTAGTATGAAGAGCAAAAGGATGGGAGGGATGTCTTAGTCCATTTTTGCTGCTACAACAAAACACCTGAGACTGGGTATCTTGTAAAGAACAGAAATTTATTTTCTCATGTTTCCAGAGGCTGTGGAGTCTAAGATCAAGGCACTAGCAAGTTTGGTTACCTGGTGAGGTACTGCCCTCTGCTTCCAAGAAGGCACCTTGATGCTGCCTCCTCCAGAGGAGAGAAATGCTGTGTCCTCACGTGGTAGAAGGGAGACGGGCAAGTGAGAGAAAAGTGCTGCATGAAGCCTCTTTTATAAAGGCTTTAATCCCATTCATGAGAGAGGAGTCCTCATGGCCTAATCATCTCTTAAAGGCCCCACTTCTTAATACTATCACAATTGGTCATTAAGTTTCAACACCCGAAGTTTGGAGAGGACTCATTCAAAACATAGCAAGGGATAAGTATTGTTGTAAGAGTCTTACATTCTTTGTGAAGTAATATATTATTTGGATATAGACTGTGCATATCATAATTTTAGGGTAATCATTTAAAAGTAACAAGAAGAAGTATAGCTAAAAAAAATCAATAGAGAACATAAAATGGAATACTAAATAAATACGCAACTAAACCAAAAGAAGGCCAAAAAAGGAAGAATGTAAATATTTTAGAGGAAGATGAGACCAATAGAAAATAAACACCAACATGGTGGACTTAAATGAAGTATATCAGCAATTACATTAAATGTAAATGGTCTAAACACTCTAATTAAAAGGTACAGATTGTCAAAGTAAATATAAAAGCAAGACTCAATAATATAGCTTTTTTTTTTTCTTTTTACAAGAAATACACTTTAAGTAAACAGAAACAGAAGAGTTCAAAATAAATGTATGGAAAGGATATCCTATAGAAACACTAAGCATAAGACAGTTGGTGTAGCTTTATCAATATCAAAAAGTAGATATCAAAAAAAAGTACTACTAAAGAAAAGAAGGGTATAAGAAGGGACATTTTGTAATGACAACAAGTTAATCCATCATGAAGACATAAAGTACTAAATGTGTATGTGCCTTAACAGAAATTTAAAATACATGAAGCAAAAACTGATAGAATAATTTCACAGTCATAGAGATTTTAATGCCTATCTCTCAGTAATTGATATTACAAGTAGATGAAAACCACTAGCCAAACAAACAAGTAAGCAAAAATCAGTAAGGACATGGAAGATTTAAACACTATCAAGCAACTTGAGTTAATTAATATTTCCAGAACACTGTACTCAACAACAGCATAATGCACATTCTTTTCACATGAACATGGATATTCAATGAGATAGACAATAGGTTGGGCCATAAAACTTGCCTCAACAGATTTAAACCCAGATAATATGGAGTATGTTCTCTGACCATAATGGAATTATAGTATAAATTGGTAACAATAAGATGTTCAGAAAATCCCCATATTTGGAAGTCAGGCAATATATGTCTACATAATCCACAAGCAAAGGAGAAATCACATGGAAAATGAGAAAATAGTTTGAACTGAGTTATAATAAAAACACAACATGCAAAACTCTTAGGATGCAGAGAAGCAGATACAAGAACAAATAGGAAATATGAACAGAGTAAATATTTGTTAAATAAATTGAATTCATTATCAGACCCTTTCCCACAAAATGACCACTTACAAAGCAAAAATATTAATAACATATGGTAGGGTTTATAAAACATTTACAGAAATAAAATATATAGCAACAAGAGAAAAAAGGAGGAGAGGGATGTCTTGGTCCATTTGTGCTGCTACAACAAAATACCTGAGACTAGACAACTTACAAATAACAGAAATTTATTTTCTCACAGCTCTCCAGATTCAAATGACCTCATTAGTGAATTCCACCAAACATTTAAGGGAGAAGTAACACTGCTTTTACACAAACACTTTAAAGAAATAGAAAAGATAAGGGAATACTTCCCACCTCAATTTATAAGGCCAGTATATATTGATTCCAAATCTGACAAAGACATTCAAAGGAAAGAAAATTACAGGCCAACATTCCTCATAAATATAGATGCAAAAATTCTTAACAAAATATCATAAATTGGATCTAAAAGTGTACAACTTTGCACGAAGTAGGAGTTACCTCAGGTATCCAGAGGTGGGTTTAACATCCAAAAAATTACCCGCTATAATTCACCACTTTAAGAAAATAAGGAGAACAATAATATGACCATCTTAAAAGATGCAGATGTAGGATTCAACAGCCATTCATGATTTTAAAATGTCAGATACCAGGAATGAAAGGGAACTTCCTTGATCTGATAAAGGCATCTATGAAAAGCCTACAGATAACATCACATTTCATGGCAAAGGACTGAATTCTTCCCCAGGATTTGGTCGGGTGGGAGGACAGCCACTCTCACCACTTCCGTTCGACTTTGGTCTCAGGTCTCTGTGCAATAGGAGAAGAAGAAGAAGAAATAAAAAGGTATTGAAATAAGGAAGTAGAACTGCTGCTACTCATAGATGACAAAATTATATACATGCAAAACCCTTGTGCTTATTAGTAAATTTGTCAAGATTACATGATTCAAAGTCAATATATGAAACTGTATTTCTATGTACCAGTAATGAATAAGAGGGAAATAAAATTAAAACAGCAGTATAATTTATAACATCAAATCTAGGAATTAACCTAATCAAAGTTATGTAAGATCTCTACACTGATTTCGAACTCCTGACCTCCAGCAATCCGCCCGCCTCTGCCTCCCAGAGTGCTAGGATTACAGGCGTGAGCCACCTTACCAGGTCTCACCTCACCTCACCAAGATCTCTACACTGAGAACTACAAAACACGGCTGTGAGAAATTAAATAAAGACATGAAAATACACACCACATTCACAGATGGAAGACTCAATACTGTTAAGATGCTCAGTGTCCTCAAACTCATCTATAAACTCAACACAATCCCAATCAAGGTCCTAGCAGGACCTTGGGGGACGGGAGAGGGGAGAAATTGATGAGCTGACTCTAAAATGTATATGGGTGTAAAAAGGACTTAGGACAACTAAAATGGTCTTGAAAAAGAAGAACAGGTGGAAGGACTCACAGTATTCAATTTCAAGACCTACTAAAAAGCTATACTAATCAAGACGGTGTGGTTTTGGTGAAAGAATGAATGAACAGATTGATTTGCACAGATCAACAAGCCCCACATCTATGATCGATTTACTTTCAACAAGTGGCCAAGGCATTCAGGAGAGCAAGGAGAGTCTTTCTAAAAACTGGTGCCGGAGCAACTGGATATACGTGCAAAAAATAGCAGACCTAAGTTCCTACTTCGTACCATGTGCCTGTGGTTCTCACGCTGTAACGTGCATCGGAATTGCCCAGAGTGCTGATGGAAATACACATTTCTGGGCCCTATCCTGAGAGTTTCTGAACGCAGCGCCTTAGACCGCTCGGCCATCCTGACTTCCTTTCTGAGAGTTTCTGATTCAGTAGGTCTTGAATGCTCAAGAATTTGCATTTTTTTTTTTTTTTTTTTTTTTTTTTGAGACAGAGTCTCACTTTGTTGCCCAGGCTAGAGTGAGTGCCGTGGCATCAGCCTGGCTCACAGCAACCTCAAACTCCGGGACTCAGCGATCCTACTGCCTCAGCCTCCCGAGTAGCTGGGACTACAGGCATGCACCACCAAGCCCGGCTAATTTTTTTTTTTTGTATATATATTTTTAGTTGGTCAATTAATTTATTTCTATTTTTGGTAGAGACGGGGTCTCACTCAGGCTGGTTTCGAACTCCTGACCTTGAGCAATCCGCCCGCCTCGGCCTCCCAAAGTCCTAGGATTACAGGCGTGAGCCACCGCGCCCAGCCAAGAATTTGCATTTTTAACACGTCCTGATCAGTGAAACTTAGGCTGCAAGTCTGGAAACCACACTTGGAGATCCACCCACATAACATGAAAATTAACTTGGGATGGACTTAAACGTGGAAGCCCGAGGAAAACACAGGAGGGTTATCTTCTTGTCCGTGGGCCAGGGAGAAATTTTTCAGACAGGGCCTAGAAAATACTAATCATGACATTTAAAAAAAGAAACTGGTAAGCTGGACTTTGCCAAAGTTAAAATCTTCCGTCCTTTAAGAAAACATAGAGGCAAGCCACACGTCTGGGTAAAAATATTCACAGCATATCTATCTGACAAAGTATGGTATATAAAGAACCCCTAAATATCCATAACCAAAATACAGAAACCCAACTTAAACACTGACAAGAGACTTGAACACTTGACAAAAGGCGTACGAATATCCGAAGGGCACACGAATATGTGCTGGACGTTAGGCTTCACGGAAATGCAAATTTAAACCTCAGCCACACATAACTTCACGCACACAGCAAAAAGGCAAAAAATAAGAACAGACAACACCAAATGTTGATGATGACAAGGAGCAACTGGAACAGTACATTGCCACCAGCAGAGAAAAAGCGATTCGACCACTTTGGAAAACGGCTGTGCGGATTTTATAAGGATCGGCACACACGTACCCACACAACGCGTCCACAGTTTCACTCCTGTGTATTTACTTAAGGAAAGTGAACACGTGTGTGCGCGACTCGTACAGGGAGGTTCACGCCAGGCTCGCCCATCACAGCCCTAAACCAGAAACAACCTGAACGTCCAGCGACAGGTGGGTGAGTTAGCACAGGTGGTTTTTTCACACCATGGATTAAAAGAGCTTAACAACGCGGATGAATAAAAAAAGGGAAAAGATAACCCAAAAAGGCACAGGGCAGCAGAGTCTGAAAGCAAAGAGGCCGTGCTGTCCCGGCTGTGGCCCGGGCCTGGGACGTGACCAATGCCGCAGGCCCCCCGTGGACAGACCAGGCAGGACTGGGAAGACCCAAACCGCCTCCGTTCCGATCTCCACTGAGTTGAACCTCCGCAACCGAGGTTAGCGGGGCCGGGACGATTGTGAGGATGCAGGAGGGAGTGGGCGGCTGGATGGAGAGTTCGGCAATGCGGCTGAGGACCAGGAGAGAGGACAAAGGGCAGGGCAGGGTGGGGGCTCATGCGGAAGGACATCGCTGGACCCGAGGCCTGGACCCGCGGGCAGGCGTTAGCAGGGCAGCTAGAAAGCGCTGGTGTCCCAGCCCGCAGGACTCCCAGCGGTGGCAGGACCTGCAACCCAGCCACAGCCCTGTGGTGTGGACCCATGCTCTCACCTGGCCCACCTGCTCCTGGAGCTGGGCCTTCTCGCGCCCGAGCTGGGCCGCCCGCCCCTCCAGCTGCTCCTGCTGCTGCTCCAGGTGCCTGCAGGCCTGCTGCAGACCCCGGTGCTCAGCCCGCACCTGCGCCAGCCGCTGCTCTGCCTGCGTCAGCTGCTCCCGGGCGCTGGCCCAGTCCTGCTGCAGCTCCGTCCGCTGCGCCCGCAGCTGGTCCCGCTCCTGCTCCAGCTGCCAGGGGGCGGGGGTCGGCGGGGCAGGAGGGCTCAGCATCCAGCCCACGCACCCCCACCCCCATGGGCTGGCCACTCCCATCCAGATCTACACCCCCTAGGCCTGGCTGGGGCCACAGGCTCCCTTGCCCCTCCCCCCAAACCCGCTCCTTGCTGGTGGGGGAAGGGGGGGTCAGTCCAGGAAAGATCTGGGAGGATGGGTGGAAGGAGGGGCCTGGGCCTGGGAGACCTAGTGCTGGGACAGAGTCTCTCACAGCTACCCTGGGGGAAACTGAGGCCCAAGGCAGGGCCCACCCACTGGGCCCTCACCTCACCTGCAGGACCAGGTGGTTCAGGGTGCCCTTGTCCTGAGCCAGCCCTTCCAGCAGGGCAGCCATCTGGGCCAGGGAGTCCCTTTGCTCCACGCCCTCTGACCTCAGCCTCCCCACGAGCAGTTCTAGGTCAGCATTGCTGGACTCGGCCTGGGGTTGGGACAGCAGGGAGGGACGCTCAGGTTCCCGGCAGAGCTGCTGGTGCCAGGGAAGGAGACAGCCCCATGTTGTGGGGGCCAGGGCTCTGGGTGGGACAGGGTGCCAGATTCCCACAGTGGGGCGGCCTCTGGGTGTTGGGGTTCCTATCAGAGGAGGGGGCGGTGGAGGCCCAGGGAGAGGCCATGAGCGACAGGCATGGCTGGCAGGGTGAGAGCAGCAAGTGTAGCCCACTGGCTAGGGGCAGGGGAGGCTGTCGGTGACTTTGGGAGCCCTGGTGACGGCTGAGGGCCCAGGTGGGCAGGAGAGAGGAGCACAGGAGGCCAATAAGCCAGGGTGGGCCGGGGGTGGGGATGGGCAGAGAGGGGTGGAGACGTACCCGAGCCAGAGCTCCACGTAGGCCCTCCCTCTCGCTCTCCACAACGTCCCTCTGCAGCTGGGCGGCGCTCAGTGCCTCCCGGGCCGAGGCCAGCTCCTTCCTGAGCTCCGAGACCTTCTCCTCCAGCTGCTGGCTGGGGCCGGAGAGCACAGGACGGGGCATGAGGTCGCCACAGGGTGAGCTGGGGCCGCCCCACAGGACCACGGGTGGAGGCAGCCACCTGCAGTGCCCAAAGGCACATGCCGTGCGCTCGAGGGCTGTGAGGTGGGTGCTGTGAGGGCTGCGAGGTGGGGGCGGGGTGTTCTCAGTCCATGTGCAGGTGCGGCACCTGTACCTGGGCACACACGCTGGTGGGCCCATTCCACAGGGCCCACACAGTGGCCAGGCGGCACGAGGGCTGGGAGCAGGAATCTGGGTCTGGGGGGGACAGTGCAGCCTGGGGGGAGCCTGGAGAGCCCTTGGCCCCCCATCAGGGCCCCCGTCCCCAGCAGTGAGGCTGGAAACCCGCCCATTCACTCAGTGGATGAGGACACTGAGGCCTGGGAGGCCCACTGGTGGCAGAGCCGGGTCTCCCAGAGCTGCCGGCCCACCTGGCCCCTGGCGCCCCGTGGCTCTGCCCACCCCCTCCTGGCACTAGCTCTTCCTCCTGCTGCACCCCCCTCCCAGCCCCACCCGTCCCCAGAGCCGCTTATCCCTGGGAGCGGGAGGAGGTCTGGAAGGAGCACGGGCCCCGGTCACATTCAGGGCACAGCGGGAGCCCCGAGGCACCCAGGGTCTCCCCCTCTCCCCAGGCCAGCCCTGCAGACCGCACAGAGCTCTGCGGGGAGGAGGGGGGGCAGCCCCCAGCCTGCAACCTTCCCCAGCTCCCGCCCTGACCCTGGGGTCACACACCCTGCGCGAGGCTGCTGCTCAGAGTCTGCCCACTCTGGGGGCCTCGCTGGTCACCCACAGCAGAGTCCCAGTGGTAGTGCTCCCCTACTCTCTGCCCCCCTCCCAGGTCCCCTGGGCCTGCCCCTGCCCCCTGAGCCTCGGCCCACTCGCCCACCCCCCTCTCCCCAGCAGCCTCCTGACGCCTTACCACTGGGATGCAGGCCCTGCCAGCTCACACCGGGCTCTCAGCCTGCACACGCCTGGTGAGAAGGCCCTTCCTGCCCGCCCCAGGCCTCCTGCACTTCGCTGGGATCCCCACACCCCTGCAGGAGGCCTGCAGATCCGCCTGCGTCTCTGTGCCCACCCCCTGCGTCTCTGCGGGGTGGGACTGGGCCCCCAGTACACCGGCCACACAGAGCAGGAGCGGCCTCGCGTGGGGTGTCTCTGCTCCCTGCGGGGTGGGCCTCCTCTCCCCGCCTCCTGCAGGAAGCCTTCCTGACCCGCCGCTCACCCAGCTCTCACCCAGCCTGTCCCACGTCCCTGCCCAGAGCAGTGCAGATGTGGGAAGCCCAGCTCAGCCTCTCGCTCTGGACTCACAGGTCCCGGGGGGCTGGTGTCACGGCCCCTCCCCACCAACGCAGGGCCGCAGGACTGGCACAGAAGCGTCCTGAGCCACCAGACCCGCTGGACCAGGAGGGCACACGGGCCACCCAGCGGGGCGGGCGCAGTTGGGGTGATATGGGCCATTTTTGAAGGAAGGGGGAGACCCCCAGGAGGGGGAAGGGAGAAGGTCCCAAAGGGATCAGCAGTGGGGGGGGGGTCCGGGCAGCCAGGCAGGGGCAGGAGACAGAGCAGAGCCCAAGGGATGAGTGGGGAGGCGTGGGGTCGCGTGGGGCCTCGTGGGGCGTGGAGCTGCGGTGCAGGCGAAGGGAAGCGGGGTGCACTCGGCGGGACGCACTCCTTCTCCGTGATGGGAGGGGGACGTCCAGGACTGGCCCAGCCGGCACCCAGACAAGGGGGAGGGTGCATTCAGGATCCGAGGGGGCGGCCTGGACAGGGCAGGCTTTGTCTGGGGGACGCCTGCGCTTTCTCTCTCCCGCTGGAGGGGCTCATGGAGTGAGGGGGGCGCGCCGCTGGCCCCGCCCCAGCCGCCGCCGGCCCCGCCCCCTCACCTTCCCAGGAGCCCCGCGGACGCCTCCAGCCCGAGGGCCTCTCGCGTGCGCGCCTGGTCCCGTGCGCGCTCCTGCAGGTCCCTCCGCGAGGCGCGCAGCTCCCACCGGCACTCGGACAGCTGCGCGCGGAGCCCGGCGGCCTCGGCCTGCGAGGACTCCAGCCGCACGTGCAGCTCCTGCCCGGTGGGGCAGCGGTGTGAGGCCCTCTGCCCCGCAGACCTTTGCCCCCAGGGCCCAGCCAGGGCTTCCGACCCCCCAGAGAGGACCCTGGTGAGGCCGTGGTCGCCTCCTCCCGGGGCGTGGGGCTCGGTGGCAGGGCTGTAAGGGCTCCTCAGCGGAGGGTGCCCCTGGGCCGCGCCGCCCACCTGCTCCCGCCGCCGCCGCCTCCCGATGGCCGCCCGCACGGCCCGCAGCGCGGGGTCCGGCGTGGCTGTGGGCCGGGCCGGCGGTGGGGACCCCTCCTGCTGGGGCGACGTGGGGCGCTGGGGGCTCCGCGGCTCCTCCCCCTCTGTGCTGCGGCTCCAGGCCAGCTCCGGGCACCCGGCGTCCGCCTTGGCCTCCTTCCGGGCACAGAGAGGAAGGGTTGCAGGGGACAGAGACCGCAGGGCCACGCCTCGGGACACCCGAAGGACAGCAGACAGGCCCGCACCTCGGTGACGCTCGCCAACGCGCGCCGCAGGGACCGGACTTCGTCCCTCAAGCGGTCCTCCGCCACCTGGCCTCCACTGCGCTGGGATTCCTGAAGGGGGGGGCGCTTCTCAGCGAGGCAGACAGACACCCCCGCGCACAGCCACCCGTGTCCCGGCCCCACGCACCAGTCTCTGCACATCCGTCTCCAGGGAAGCGATGGTTCTCTGCTGCTGCCTGTTTTGCTCTGTGAGCTTCTCCACCAGCTGCGTTTGCTCGCAGAGTCTGGGGAGAGGTCGGCGGGGCATGGGGTGGGGGCCCTGAAGAAGAGGCCCTGGCTCTGTCTAGACTCCCACTGGCATTGACCTCTTTGCTGGTGCTGGGGCTACCCTCTGGGTGGGCCTCAGTCCCTTGGTCAGACCACATGCCTCTCCCACTATAGAACCTTCAATGGCTCCCACTGTCTCAGGAGTAGAGAGCCGGCCCCGAGTTCAGCATTCAAGGCCCACACCCTGACCCAACTCTCCAGCCTGACGCCAGTGGCTGCCTGAGGCTCTGCCCCATCCATGCGGCACTGCAGATGGCGTGCTCACCGCCAGGCCTTTGCCCCAGCTGGTCCCTCTGCCTGGAACACCTCTGTCACAGCCAGTGAGTGGCTCCCCCATGGCACCTGGGTCTCCCTTCCCTCCGCCCCAGATCACCTGGCCCAGGCCCTGGGCGCTGCCCCAGCAGGCTGTCTGGGTCCTCTGGGGCTGAGTCGGGTGTGTTTGACTCGGTTGGCCCCTGAGAGTGGGGAGGACTGTGCCTGTCAGCCCTGGCCCCCAGGTTCTGTGGAAGCAGCTCGTGGCCAGCAGGTAGGCCTCACTGGGGGGGGGGCTGCCTCCCCGTTTTCTACTGCAGCTGCTCTTGAGAGACTTCTGAGCTCCAGGTATGGGTTTGTGTCCGGAACCTTCTATGCTTACTGTGAGGCCCACAGACCGGGGCAGGAGTGGGCCTGGCCCCTCTGCCCACCTCAGATTCTTTCTTTTCCTTTTTTGGAGACAGAGTTGGGCTAGAGTGCCGTGGCGACGTCACAGTTCACAGCAACCTCAAACTCCTGGGCTCAGGCAATCCTCCTGCCTCAGCCTCCCGAGTAGCTGGGACTACAGGCATGCGCCACCATGCCGGCTGATTTTTTTCTATATATTTTTAGTTGTCCAGATAATTTCTTTCTATTTTTATTTAGTTAGAGATGGGCTCTCGCTGTTGCTCAGGCTGGTCCCGAACCCCTGAGCTCAAATGATCCTCCCACCTCGGCCTCCCAGAGTGCTGGGATTACAGGTGTGAGCCACTGCACCTTAAACCATTTACCTAAGACAAGTTCCCAGCCCTAGAAGAGGGTCCTGCTTTTTTTTGAGACAGTCTTACGCTGTCACCCAGGCTAGAGTACTGTGGCGTCAGCCTAGCTCACAGCAACCTCAAACTCCTGGGCTCAAGCCATCCTCCTGCCTCAGCCTCCCGAGTAGCTGGGACAACAGGCATGCGCCACCATGCCCGGCTAATTTTTTGTATATATATATATTTTTTTTAGCTGGCCAATTACTTTCTTTCTATTTCTAGTAGAGACATGGTCTCGCTCTTGCTCAGGCTGGTTTCAACTCCTCCTGCTTTTAGACCTGAAAATTCCACTTCTGGGAGCCAACCACAAGGTTCCTTGAAATCCTCAACATGAGGGGCATCCTCACTCCTGCTCCCAGGGGACTGGCTCGGGGTCCAGGCCTCCCGCCTGAGAGACGTTCTGTGGCCACTGGGAGAGTGATCATGGACGGGAGTGCCACAGTCGACGTGCCCTGGGGTCCGAATGTCGGTGCACGTCGGGGACCCGCACTGCACGCGAGTGACGCGGCTGCACTTTGGGAAACAGCTGCTCGGCAGGCTGGGGGGTGCAGGGGTGCCCCTGACCCTCTGGCCCTCCCCTGTGGGCCTGCTGGCCGGGAGCCCACCTGGCCAGGACCACCTGGCCGGGACCCACCTGGCCTGCAGCGCCACCTTCTCCGCGTCCCAGCGGCCCTGCAGCTGCAGCATCTCCCCGACCTTGTCCCGCAGCTGCTGCCCCAGGGCGCCGCCCGCCGACAGCCGCAGGTTGCAGTCGAGGCTCAGGCAGGCAGTGCGCAGGCGCCGGGCGGTCCTGGCCGCGTCTGCCCGCATGTCGGCGAGACCCCTGGGGACAAGGGGGCACCTGCGGCTGAGCCTCGGGACACGCCTGCGGGTCCAGCTGGGAGACGCTGGCCTGGCTGCCCTCGGGGAATCCCACCTGGGCCATGACCAGCTGTGAAGGTGGGTGTGCAGGGTCAGCTGGGAGGGGCAAGCAGGGGTGCAGGGTCAGCTGGGAGGGACAAGCAGGGGGCAGGTCAGCTGGGGAGGGACAAGCAAGGTGCAGGGTCAGCTGGGATGAGCAAGCAGGGGTGCAGGTTCAGCTGGGAGGGGCAAGCAGGGGTGCAGGGTCAGCTGGGGAGGGACAAGCAGGGGTGCAGGGTCAGCTGGGGAGGGACAAGCAGGGGTGCAGGGTCAGCTGGGAAGCGAGCGGGTGCAGGCAGCTGGGGAGGGCGGCAGAGTGGCAGGGTCAGCTGGGAGGCGAGCAGGGTGCAGGGTCAGCTGGGAGGGCGGGCAGGGGTGCAGGGTCAGCTGGGGAGGGGCGGGCAGGGGTGCAGGGTCGCTGGGAGGGGCGGGAGGGTGCAGGGTCAGCTGGGGAGCGGCAGGGGTGCAGGGTCAGCTGGGGAGGGGCGGGCAGGGGTGCAGGGTCAGCTGGGAGGGGCGAGCAGGGGTGCAGGGTCAGCTGGGGAGGGGCGAGCAGGGGTACAGGGGCAGCTGCGGAGGGGCGAGCAGGGGTGCGGCCAGGCTGGGCAGGACGAGCCTCATTTTCCTCGTGTGAAAGTGGGGTGCTGTACTTTGAGGGCTACCGAGGCAACACCAGGACAGGCCCGTGTGGGGTGCCGAGCAAGGACCCCATCCAGGCAGGTGGCCATCACAGTGCCTGTCACTGCTCTGCTCCCCACCCCCCGCCCCCCCCAGGTCCCCTGCTGCGCATGTGTGCTTGTCCCTCCCCTGCCCTGGCGACCACTCCCGCCCACCTACCGCCACCAGCCTGTGAGGGACACAGAGCAGACCCACCGGGAGCCCAGTGCCCCTCCCCCTCCACGGTGGGCGGGCCCCAGATGGGCGGCGGCACTCACCGCTCGGTGGCCGTGCGCAGCTCAGCCAGGTGTGTCCGCAGTGCCGAGGCCTGTCTCCACAGCAGGAGGAAGTCCCGGGGCCGCCTCCGGGTCTGGAGGCAAGAGGCCGTGTCCACTCGGGCGGGCCGGACGCACCCTCCAAGCCCGCTCTCTCCCCGACGCCCTGCTGGGCCGGCTCCGTGGGGCTGGAGTGGGCCGGGCGAAGCCAACCAGGTCCCGAAGCCCTCGTGCCCCACAGGCAGGGGAGCCCCAGGCCCCCACCCGGGGGACAGTGCTGTGTCCCCCCCCAAGGAAGGGACCACACCCTGGTTCCCACCGGGGCAGCCCCCGTGCCGGGCGCCCCACCGCTGAAGAGCACGGCCCGCTGGGGGGTGAGTGCTGGGGCTGGGGCCCAGGACCAGAGCTCCCCTGCTGGGACTGGCACACAGGGCAGTTCCTGGTCTGCAGGGATCTGACGTCCAGGCGCAGGCCTGGCACCCTCAAGGTTTGGGGGAGACAGAAGCAGAGGGAGGGTCTCCACCCGTAGCCCACGGTCTAGCACGGAGGGCAGACGGGGCAGCGGCCTGCTGAGCCGGGGCAGGGCGGATGGGGCTGCAGTGAATGGGGGTCTCTCTGTGGGGCAGGAAGGGGCTGGGCCGGGGGTGCTCAGCGGTTCCAGCCGTGCGGAGAACTAGGCTGAGGCCCAGCAGGCTGTCGGGGTCCCCGCACCACCTTCCTGGCCCCCACCCCGCAGCCTCCTGCACTCTGACCTCTGGGGCCCCAGCAGGGACAGACGCCCGGTGCTTTCCCGAGTTCCCGCCCCTCCCGGCCTCACCCACACGCCCCTGTGTGCTTCAGATGTCGGGCACACCCACCTCCCGCCCGGGCAGCCCACACGGCCACCTCTTCCTCGGGAAGCCTTCCCTGACCCTCGCACCCAACGCCACCTCCGAGGTCACCCTCGGGAGCCCAGTGACGCCTTGCTGTGCACCTGCTGCCGGGCACGGCTCCTGGCACCTGGCACTCAGAGGTCACGCTGGCTGCAGCCACGCCACCTCCCACCCTCCCCGGTCCTGACCGCCTACAGGGCGGGGTGAGACACCTCCCCACGGCACAGAGGGGCGGGCACCGGGGCTGACCTGCCCCGACAACACGTCACATTCCAGACTCAACTTCTGGACGCACCGCTGGGCTGGCCAAAGCGGTCAGGAGCACCAGGCGGGAACTGGGGACTTCGGAGCACCCAGAGGAAGGGAGGTGGTTTCTCACCAAACTCGGCAACCTGAACACCGGTTTCCTTGACCAAAGGGGCTCAGGGCAAAGAGCTGAGTCTAGGGCCACCCAAAGTGTGACCCATGTGTGGGTCAGGCTGCTGCCCCAGGAAGTTCACTCTCAGTATGGTATGCCAGAGGTGGGTGAGCTAGGGGAGAACTGGCATACCCTCTACACATGTGTGCACGTGCCCATACACGTATGCACACACACACGTATGCACACATACACGAATGCACACATACATGAATGCACACATACACGTGCCCCTGCAGTAGACTGTGAGGAAAAATGCCCGCCTAGAACGCTCAACAGAGGAAAACAATCTTCCCTGCGGTTTTGGAACCACAAGTTGGACTTCGCACAGTTTGCAGCCTGAATTCACACAACCTGGGTGGTCTCAAAAAAATCCCAAGCTGAAAATCTCCTTCCACGTGGCCCCGGAGACTGTCAGAGACGCCAGGCACCCATCGGAAGCAAATAAAAATCCTGTCTAGGAAAGACTACGACATTCACCCCAGGTTTTGAAGAATTTTTCACCAAGTTCCAAGGAAAATAAGCAGCTTTCAGCTGAAAGATAGCAAGTCACCAAAGACACAAGGAAGCAAACAAAGCACCACGATCGAGAGCCAGCGGAAATAACAGAGTCGGGCCTCGGAAGACTTCACGTGTTGGGACGCCTGACAGATGCAAAATCCCCCATGTTTAACGTGAGCCAACAAACAAACGAGAGGCTTGAAAACGTGAGTTAAGGGGAAGATATTTGAGGAAGAATCAAAACTGAACTCTTAAAGATAAAAGACAGTATCTGGAATTTAACCCTCTTAGGGTGGCGGGCGGAAATATCAGCTTTTGTGTTTGGGGCGAAAAGTGCAGCAGGTGGATATATCGGCTCCTATGTAGACCACTGGTGAAGCCACAGGACCCCACAGCTGGGGAGAGACCCTCAGCGCAGCCAGACGAGAGGACAAATTACCTTCACCGGGTGGCGGCCGGCACCAGAGCCTGGACGCCGACCTCTCCCCGGCCACAGCGGAGCCGGAAGACAGAGAAAGGGGATCTTTAAAGTGTGGAGAGAAAACACCTGTGGCCAGTGAAATGTTTGCCAAGGACAAGGAGATGACAAAGACCCCAGGTGAGCTCGGGGCTGGCTCCTGCCAGGGCACTTGTCTGCCCGTGGCGGAAGCTGCTACCGTGACCAGCCCAGCAGTGCACGGACGGCGACCGGGCCGTGGCGGACGCCACCTGTCCAGGTATCTCGTGCCGGGAGGCCAGCCTCAGAGATCACCTGTGACGACACACACGGCTCTCAGGGATGCTCCAGCATGGGAGGGCGCCCCCCGCCCCGCGCCTCAGTTGGCTGGCCGGGTCTGCAGCTGTGCAGGGCCCGGGCAGTGGGGTCAAACCTCCACCTTGTCCAGGGACACGGTGGATGTGGGGAGGGCAGTTGAGGCCCAGCACACGGCCGCCTCCTCCGGCCTCTGCCTCCACCTGGAGGAAGCACGCTTTCCAGGCGGCTTCGGGAGAGAAACCTGGACAACGGTGCGTGCAGAGTTTGCAGACCCCGATGGAGGGCTGTGGGGACGCCTGCGGCCCCTTCCGGGACTGCCCCAGTAGCAGACCACACGGGGGTTGCTCGAGACCACAGCTTTGGGGGTCCTGCATTCCCACATCCCCTGACCGGGAGCAGGGCCGTGAGCACCCGGACGCCTCCGTCCTCTGGGGCTGTGCCCAGACGCCCACACGGCTCGAGCTCTCAGTGGCTGTGAGAGGGCGGGGTGCCGGGGGGGGGCTGGTGTCCAGGTGCTGCGTGTGGCCAGTCTAAAACAGACTGAAACAGGATCCGCACTTTCCACCCTGCTGACGCGTGGGCACTTCCCATCTCTGAGAATAAGCGGCCTGAGGGAAGGGGGACACGGGACCCGCACTTTCCACCTCTCACAAAGGCCAGCTCCGAAAAATTATTCCCGAAAGGATGGTGAATGGGGCCACCTTTCTTGAAGTTAAGAAAGGAGTGTGACCAGGAGCCAGGCCCACGAAGACCGCCTGCCTCTGAACTCCGGGGGTCCACGCCAGAGCCGGGATGCGGCCACGTGCCTCATTCGTGGGGTCCTGCGCCCGTCTCTCAAGCGGGGAGGGGACCGGGGAGTCCCCCGCTCCGGGGACGCCTGTGGCCAAGCCGGGTGCGGGACATGGCATGGTGGCAGGGGGCCGTGGTCTTGCCCCCAGGAGGGACGGCCGCCGAAGCCAGTGCACCTCTCCTGGTCCCTGCCCCCCAGCCACGTGCACCCCAGCAGCCGGCCGCCCCGGGGTGGGCGGGCGAGAGCTGGGGCGCACCTCTCTCTCAGCCCCGCGCCTCGGGTCCAGCTCCCGGCGCAGGCGGAGCGCCAGGCCGGTCGTCCACGCCAGCTCCCGGGCCAGGGCGTCGTTGGCCCTCTGCATCTGCGCCAGCTGCTCCCGCAGGAGGGCGTTGACCTGGGACAGGCCGGTGCTCCTGCACAGACAGAAGAAGCCGCGTTGGCGCGCGGTGGCCTCTCCTTAGGCAGGTGCTCGGGGTCCCAGCCCCCAAATCAGGGCTCAAATGCAGCCCCGAGACCCCGGGCCCGGCCAACCCCACAAGTGGTGCAGCGCTGACCACCCGCAGTGGCCTCACAGCGGCCCCCAGACCAAAGGCCAGCGTCAGGGTGGCCCTCCCAGGTGCCAGCCCAGTGCCTCGGTCTCCCCACATGCCCCTGCTCTCCTGGCTCTGCCCCCATGGCCTCGGATGGTCCTCAATGCCCAGGACGAGGTGCAGAGGATGGAGGGAGGAGCCGTCTGGGGGTGGGCGGTGTGGGGGGCAGTCGGGACCCCGGGAGGGGAGTGGCCTCTCCTGAACCCCGGGCCGGTGCCCACCAGGAGCGGGTCTACACGGGCTGCAGGCAGGGACCCCAAATGCACCGAGGAGACCCGACTGGCCTCGGCACCTCCCGGCCAAGGGCAGGGCCACGGCGGGTCACTCCCCGCTACTCTGAGGTCCTCGGGCATCAGCCTCCACTTGGGTCATTTCCCGTCACACAGGGTTTCACAACGTTCCTCCGCACTTTCGTTCCTTTCCCAGCACCCCCAGGGTGGACAACTGTGAGATTTTTCCACAACTGCTCACCCTCCCGGCCCTGGGAGACGGGGCTGGGGGGCTCAGCCCCTCCCAGCTGCCCTGCAGAGAGCGGCTGGGGGGCCTGAGGACAGGGTCACTGCTGGGAGTGATGGGGGTACTTCTGGGGTGCTGGGAAAGTACTGGGGCTGGGTCAGTGTTGGGGACCCAGGATTGCTGCTGGGGGCTGGGTGGGTGCTGGGGGCGGTTTGGTGGTTGGGGTCAAGAAGGGTTGGTGATGGGCATGGGTGGGTGCTGGGGCGGTGGGTGTGGGGTCAGTGGGTGTTGGGTCAGTGTGGTGTTGGGGGCTGGGTGGGTGTTTGGGGGCAGGGGTTGGGCTGGTGGGTGTTGGGGCAGGGTGGGTGTTGGGGTGGGTGGGTGTTTGGGAGTAGGTGGGTATGGGGCTGGTCGGTGTTGGGGTCAGGGTCGGTGTTGGGGGCTGGGTCGGTGTTGGGGCCTGGGTGGGTGTTGGGGGCTGGGTCGGTGTTGGGGGCTGGGTCGGTGTTGGGAAGCTGGGGTGGGGGGGCTGGGTGGGTTTGGGTTGGGTCGGTGTTGGGGTCAGGGTCGGTGTTGGGGCTGGGGGGGTTGGGGGCTGGGTGGGTGTGGCTGGTGGGTGTTGGGGGCTGGGTCGGTGTTGGGGGCTGGGGTGTTGGGGGCGGGTGGGTGGGTGGGGGCTGGGTCATATTGGGGTCAGGGTCAGTGTTGGGGGCTGGGTCGGTGTTGGGTCAGGGTCGGTGTTGGGGCTGGGGTGGTGTGTGGTTCAGGGTCGGTTTTGGGGGCCTATGGTGGTGTTGGGGGCTGGGTGGTGTTGGGGTCAGGGTCGGGCTGTTGGGGCTGGGTGGGTGTTGGGGGGCTGGGGTGGGTGTTGGGGCTGGGTGGGTGTGGGGCTTGGGTCAGTGTTGGGGGCTGGGTGGGTGTGGGGGCCTCCAGGGTCAGTGTTGGAGCTGGGTGGGTGTTTGGGCGGGTCGGTGTTGGGGGCTGGGTGGGTGTTGGGGTCAGGGTCGGTGTTGGGGCTGGTGGGGTTGGGGTCAGGGTCGGTGTTGGGGGCTGGGTGGGTGTTGGGGGCTGGGTCGGTGTTGGGGGGCAAGGGTCGGTGTTGGGGGCTGGGTCGGTTGTTGGGGAACTGGGTCGGTGTTTGGGCTGGGTGGGGGTGTTTGGGGTCAGGGTCGGTTTGGGGGCTGGGTGGAGGTTGGGGCCTGGATGGGGTGTTGGGGTCAGGGTCGTGTTGGGGGCTGGTGGGGTGTTGGGGCGGTTCGTGTTGGGGGCTGGTTCGGTGGGGGGCTGGGGTGGTGTTAGGGGTCAAGGGGTCCGGTGTGTGGGGGGGGGGCTGGTGGGTGTGGGGGTCCTGGGTTCGGTTGTGGGGCTGGGGTGGGTGTTGGGGCTGGGGGCGTGTTGGGGTCGGGTTGGGTGTTGGGGGCTGGGTCCCGGTGTGGGGGCCTTGGGTCGGGTGTTGGGGTGCCAGGCCCCCAAGGCACAAGTGGCGGTCCCCCACCCGCCTCTCG